TCGCTTGAGCCCAGGAGTCGGAGGTTGCTGTGAGCTGTAATGCCACGGCACTCTACCCAGGGGGACAGCTTGAGGCTCTGTCTCCAAAAAAAAAAAAAAAAGAAGTAATGACTTAAATTTTATGAAAGTACGGTTTGGACATTTAAGTTTCAAAGTTAGCTCCTTTCTAAGCACCTTCAAAAAATGCACATTTAAAAGCTTTAAAACTGTAGATTGATATGCCTTTTTTAGGCTTCAGACACTTGTATTGGTGTATTGTCAAACAATGTTTCTATCATGGCCAGTTTTTCTTTAGGACATAGGAATCAGTGAGGTGCCAGAGAACAAATGAACTGAAGTGGATTTAATGGAAAGTGGTGCCAGGTGTAGCCATGGTCACTGTACACCTGGAGTTTCCTTGAGTAGGCCATAGTTCATGTAACAAATGTCTACTGAGCCCCTGTTGTGTCCCATTAAACTCTCTGGATGATGGAGAGGGCCAATGACCTTGAGAAGCCAGTGGGGGAGATGGCTCAGTTCTAGGTACATGTGAGGGCTAAGTGCATTGACAGAGAAGTCCACAGGCTGCTAGAGCTCTGAGGTTGGGGGAGTAGAAGTAACCATTTGGGGGCTATTCTGCTCTGATGTCCACAGAGTGGTACTTTTTAGACTGTAAGTCCTGATTTGCGGTTTGGAGAATAAGGCTGTCTGTAAAATAGACCCATGTTCTGTGCCTCATGTCACTAATCTGTCAAAATGTAATTCCTTTTTGTAAGAAATGTAGGTGTACATTTGGGTTGTGAACATTTCTTTTTTTTTTTGCAGTTTTTGGTTGGGGCTGGGTTTGAACCTGCTACCTCTGGCATATGGGGCCAGTGCCTTACTCCTTTGAGCCACAGGTGCTACCGGTTGTGTGCATTTTTTACTCAGCTCAGACAAGGATCACAGTACTTAACCCTGTCGGGAATCCTGGCTTCTGCTGCCTCTGGTCTTAGTCCTCCCTACCAGGTGGCTGTGATTTCATCCTGAACAAAGTTAAATATTTTTGCATTGATGTAATTTATTTGGATTGTTAAAATTAAAAAAAAGTTTGTAAGATTCCCTGGAAATCTAGGACTGGATATTAAATAAGGAATTACTATTAATTTTGTTGGATATAATAATTGTGTCATAAATTCTGATCTGATAAATACCTATGAGGTATTATAAGTGAAATAGTACAATTTCTGGGATTTGGTTAACTCAAATTAGAAGGAAAACAGGAGGGGGGATAGCTGAAATGTGTTGGTAATGGGTATACATTATTCTGTCCACTTTTGTGTAGTTTTGAGAATTTCCATAATAAGCGGGGAAGAAAAGATTCCCTTGGTTATGGGCTGTGAGCCGTCAGTTCATGTGGCTGCCAAGTCACCCCTGGCCCTGTGTCTGTGAGGAATTGGGAATTTGTGTTGGACCAGTTTCTTTTAACCCTTTTCAATCCAATTTTTCTGCCCCCTGCATAGTTTCCAGTTCTTATTTATTTTGGGTGGGGAAGACGTTGGTGGATTACTTGTAATTATCGTATAGGTTTAAGAGAAAAACAAATGTGAACTCACCTGATGATTTTATTATGTATTTTAGGTTACATAAAATAATTAAAGTGTTTTTGCTTATTTTTGTTTATAAATAAAAAAAATCACTGTGTTAGATGAGGTCCAATAAGGATCAGAAAGGGTTAAAATTTATTCACGGTAGGTCCTAGGAAGCCATACCTTCTCCATGCTGACCTGTGCAGATACAAGGGTGTGTTCCTGTGTATAAATGTCTATATAACTGAAATGAAAGTTCAAAGGAATGGTACTTGATATAAGCAACACTCTGATTTTTTTATTCTAGTCTGTTTTTATCCCCTCCCCTCCAATTAACCTGCTGGTCATGACCTACTAAATTGATTCTATACTTAGCACCAGCCATACGTAACATAGGTTAAAAAGATGAATTGGACCAACTATACCTTGTTTTATCTCTCCTAATGGATAGTCGTTACACTGATTATTTGGTGGCAACTTGGTGACCCAGGGTTGGGAGGCAGGAAGGCCAGGCAGGAATAGCCTGGCAGAGACCTTATGTCAAGCGGCCAGCAGATGAGGCCAAAATGACCAACAATTGAGGCCTGTAACTCTTCTGGCTTGGAGAGTTTCTATTTACATAGTAGCATATATTTATTAATTCTCAACAGAAAGAGTCTGTCATAATTTAGATTCAGAAAGCACATCAGAATCTCCCAGTGCTGCTTTGTTAACTGCTCTGAGCATCCTTTCAGGGGAAGATAGTGTAATAGAAGACATTTCTGTTAGCAATAAAACTGCAGCAAGGGCCACTCTGCAGATGAGAAGTGTGGCAGCATTCTGCCCCATGAAGACAGATACTGTTGACCTTCCAGTTTCTTAGTTTAGGGCAAATGCTACCCCATCTTGTCACTCTGCAATGTAAGTAACACAGGTGTAATTAAGTCTGTAGATCTAACTGTTCAGCAATGAAATCATTCTCTTTATTTACTCAAGTGCTATTAACATTGTTAGCACAGGAAGTAGGAGCATTGTACTTTGGAAAGTAAGCTGCTCCCACCTCAAATCAGAGAATAAGAGGGGGCAGATGCTAGAGTGTGTCAGAAGAGACATGGGCAGGCCACAGGCAATTCCAGAGGAGCCTGGGACCATGTCCCAAAGTTTAGAAGCAGAGAAGAAATGGA